GGGGAAAGGGAGGGGGAAAGGGAGAGGGGAAAGGGAGGGGGAAAGGGAGAGGAGCTTGTGAGAAGAGGAAACAGGCAGTACAGGGCCCTATAACACCCAGTGCCTCTATACTGGGGGTTGGAACTGGATGACCTTTAAGGTCCTTTCCAAGCCAAACCATTGTGTGATTCTGTGACAATCAGACACATAAAGCATCTGTGGAGGCAGCTACAGCCTCCTAGGGCTGCATCCCTGGGGTGGAACTGGCTGTTCCATCCTTGCTCCCATCCTTCAGCACCAGCAGTGTCACTTTGTCTCTCAGGTGACAGGTCCAAAGGACAAGGCAGGAGAAGGACACTCCTGAGAGCATCTTTGCCACACACCACACACACAGCCAAGCTGGGGAGACCACATCAGGGACTGCCACATTCTTCAGTGCCTCTTTTTCCCCTCTGCTCTCCCCGTGGGGGATGGGAAATGTCAGGCAGCAGCTCCTGGGAATGCACTTTCCTCCATTTAATGTAATAAGCTGAGGCTAGGCAAGCCCTTTGCCTCCCAGACAGCAGCTCTGCTAATGCTAATCCCCTAACGCTGCCCCTCTAAGCACATTAGAAACAGTCGAGTGAAGGCTGAGACTCAGCTGCTTCTCCCCAGGGGCTGCTGAAACACTCCCAGGTCCTAACAGGAGGCACCTGGCAGGAGAGCAGAGCCAGTTAAATAACAGCTGGTTGAAGAGAGAGCAGGTTTTCAGGGATCTCTCCAATTCCTGGCACACGTGTGCAGGAGTCAGGCCCAGAGAATGCAGCAGACCATGGAACAAAAAAAAAAAAAAAAAAAAGCACTTAATAGAGAGTCAGAGAATCCCAGACTGGTGTGGGTTGGAAGAGACCTTAAAGCTCATCCAGTTCCACCCCCTGCCATGGGCAGGGACAGCTCCCACCAGTCCAGGGTGCTCAGTTTGTCTCAGGGACAAGAGGGAAGATGAAGAGAGGGAAGCTGTGGACAGAAAAAAGGCAGAACACACATGCAAACTGCCTCCACAGATGTTTTATGTGTCTGATTATCACAGAATCACACAATGGTTTGGGTTGGAAAGGAATTAAAGGTCATCTAGTTCCAACCCCCAGTATAGAGGCACTGGGTGTTATAGGGCCCTGTGCTGCCTGGTTCTTCTTCTCTCTTTCCTCTCTCCCTTTCCTCTCTTCCTTCTCCCATTCCTTTGCCTCCTCTCCCATACATCTTTTACTGTCACTAAAATCCCTTTGAAAAGATTCTGCCCCTGCAAAAGCAGAGGAGGAAGCTGCAGACAGAACCAAGGCAGAGCATGCAAAGGATATCCCCAGTTTTTCACTTCCAGTTTACTGGGTGAATCTAAAAGAGAGAGCAGCTTTTTATGCTTTTCAGGGGGAAAAGGCTGAAAGAGGAGAAATTTAGGTTAGATATATGGAAGGAATTCTCCCCTGTGAGGGTGCTAAGGCACTGGGATGGATTTCCAGGAGCAGCTGTGGCTGTTCCATCCCTGGGAGAGTTCCAGGACAGGTTGGATGGGGCTTGGAGCAACCTGGGCTGGTGGGAGGTGTCCCTGCCCATGGCAGAGGGTGGAACAAGATGAGCTTTAAGGTCCCTTCCAACCCAACCCATTCCTACTGGAGCCCAACTGCCTTTTACCCCTGTTGATGAAGCATTTCCTTTGCCTCCTCTCCCACACAACATCTTTTATTGTCAAGAAAAATCCCTTTGAAATGATTCTGCCCCTGCAAAACCAGGCAGGAAGGAGTGAGATAAACAAGCCAACAACCTGCAATGTCTCTGCTTATTTTAGATGTCAGAGAAACCGAAAATTGCTGTGTGCTGTTTCCAGGAGAACATGTGGTTTCCGTACCCTGTGCATCTGCCACAGGGGAAACACAGCCACAAAACTCATCTGCAAACTCTCCTGGGTGAGATATTTCCACTGCTTAGAAACTCCAGCCTTCCTTTTAGGAATAGACATGTGGGAAAGCTTTAAGGACAATGAAATTTCAGAGCAATAAAAGGTAATAACAATCAAAAAAAGGAGAGGTTGTAGGGAGAAATGGCATTTCAGACCATTGGCATCTGGGGAAAAGGCACATTTAAGGGTTTCACAGTTAGCCCAGTAAGGAATCCCAATTAGCCCAGCCAAGGGATCTCAGGGTTGTTATTTCCTGTGATGTAATCCTGTCATCCCCCTAAAAAAGAACATCTGTTAGACCCTCAGCTGATGAAAACTACAGGAACTCCAGTCAAGCCACCACAGACCTGAGGCCAAGGAGCTGCTCTGGTGTTTCTCTGGGATTTATTAACTGGGGCCAAGGGAGAGTGGCACAAACTGTCCAAATCCTTGGAAATCTGGGTAAAATCCCAGCTCAACTCTGATTTTAGCATGGGTAGAGTCTCTCATGACAAACCTCCTTCACCACACCTTTGGGAAAAGTGTCACTCACTGAGGTTGGGGCCAAACCTCTCCTTGCTTGGAGGAGGTATTTAACAGCATTCCTGTTCCTAGGATACCTCCAAGGAATTTGGCTTTATTTAACCCAAAATCCAGGAAAACAGAGCAGAGCCAGAGCCAAGGCACACGAGGCTGAGCACCAGGAGCTGCCTTCAGTCTGCAGGGGCTGGATAGGAGCATTAAACCATTGGAAATCACCTTTCCAGCATGGAATGGGAGCAATCCAGCTGCAGAGCAGCAGCAGGTTCTCCTCCCATCCCAGCACTAAAAAAAAGCAAAGTGAAAAGCAAATAAAAGCAGAATCGCTCCAGGCTGTGATCCCACTTTATCTAACATGGATAAAAATACCCCAGAGCAGCAGGATAGGCTGGAAAATAAAAGGAAGCAGTGGAAAGCTTGGGGGTTTATCCCCCAAAAAAGCAACATTACTTCATGCCACTATTGAACTCCACTCCGTGCAAAGCTCACCTGATCCCATCAGATGTCCTGTGGCCCCTGGAGCACATGGAAAGATGAAGTTGGTGGTTTTCCCTGGTGGGATTTTTGGTTAGTTTTCAATCCTGCTCTTTCCTGTCCCCCTTTGTTTTCCAGCTGAGCTCCCTGCTCAGTGCCTCTTCCCACCGACTTTGGGCTCAGGGTGGTTGTCAGCGGAGCAGGATGAACTTCCATCCCCAAATTTCACAGCCAAGGTGTGAGCTCCTCAGCAAGGGACAGTGGATTTGAGGGGGTTATTGCCTGGGGGTGCTTTACTCGGCACAGGGAGCTGTGGCAGGATGTGACCCGGGCAGGGAGGACCAGCACCAGGCACAGCCGTGATGTCCTGCGGGATGGCAAGGCTGGAACCATCTGGAAAGGGCTTTTTTTTTTTTTTTTCAGGGAAGAGCGAGGACCAAGGGGGATGGGAGAAGAAGGGATGCCATGACAACCTTTGGGGGTTTCCCAGGAAACCAGGGTCGCTATGGCAACTGCATCACTCGGCTCGGAATTAGTGACTTCCGCCGAAGGAGTGTTCGCCGAGCTAAACTCCTGGCGCTGAGCGGCGGCTTCGCTCCCAAAACGCCTTGTGAAAGAGGAGGAAATATCCCTTTGTTTCCAGCTGGGTGGTTTGGAGGCTTCCCAGCCGCAGATCCAGCATCGCTCCCTGTGCCCCGGTGGCTCCCGCATCCATTCCATTCCGCCTTTCTCCTCCCTTTTTTCCCCCCTTACACTGACCATGGATTGGGCATGGGATGAAATCATTCCAGCAGGGGCTAAGGGAAGGGAATGAAGTCTGAAAAACGAAGGGGTTGGGGTGGGTTTTTTTCTCTTTAAATCATCCTTGACTCAAGTCTCTGAGCAGATTTAGCATTTCATCAATGATCTAATGGGGAGCTAAAAGGGATCTGTGATGTGTCTAACACATCATGTTTCAATATCAAACATCATTTAACGATGTGGTAAAAGAGACTCCGCGAAATGAAACGGTCGTTTCCTCCCCACGCCCTGTCACTGCTCTCTGCTACGTTTTCCTCCTTCCCCCACCCAAACCAGGGCTGGTAATCCAACAAGTGAATTGATGGCATGGAAAGGAAACCGGCTACACTCTGCCCGGAGGGAAAAGGGCTGGAAAATTCAGGAGCAAAGCAAGAGGTTCCCTCAACCCCCCCAAAAAAGCAAAGCAGCTCTGCAACACGTTGCAGAACAAACACCTGTGAGTGTGGTTTGTCTTCATCTTCCTTCTCTTTCCCCTTTAGCTGTTCTCTTCTCCAGAGCTTTAGAAATCCTTTGATTTGGGGGCTCTTTAGGAAGGAAGGAGCTTAAAAAAATCAAGGTATCAAAACGAGGGCACACACAGACCGACGATGGTGCATGTTCCACACAACACCGACACACAGTCACTTTGCATCATTATTGGTATTATTGTTATTGGTTTACCAAATCCTCACATTTTGTTGCTGTTTTTTTGGGGGGTGTTTTTTGGGGTTGGTTTTTTGTTTTTTGTTTTTTTAGACATCTGTAAAGATCTTTTTGCTGTTCACACAGTTGGGATTGTTTGTGGTTGTGCAGTTGGCTGCTTTGAAGGCAGCCTGTTTGAATGCACTGTGGTTGATTCCTCCTTCCTCGATCACCATGTACTCAGACTTGCTGAGGGTGGAATTGCTGCGAGCTTTCTTCATCTCCTCGCTGGATGAGAGGTGCTGGCAGCTCCCAACGTGCATGTACTGGGCTTGTTCCTCACCTTCTGTCTCCCGGTGGTAGAAGTAGTTGAAATTGGAGACTATCACAGGCACAGGGAGGGCAATGGTCAACACCCCAGCGATGGCACAGAGAGACCCCACAATCTTGCCCCCAATGGTGATGGGGTGCATGTCCCCATAGCCCACTGTGGTCATGGTCACCACAGCCCACCAGAAGGCATCGGGGATGCTGCTGAAACCTGAACTGGGGTCATCAGCTTCAGCGAAGTAGACGGCGCTGGAGAAGAGGATGACGCCGATGAAGAGGAAGAAGATGAGCAAACCCAGCTCCCTCATGCTGGCCTTGAGGGTCTGCCCCAAGATCTGCAGCCCCTTGGAGTGCCTGGAGAGCTTGAAGATCCTGAAGACCCTGACGAGGCGGATGACTCTGAGGATGGCCAAGGACATGGCTTGCTGGCCGTTGCCTTGCCTCTCAGCCAGCTCTGTGCCTAAGGTGATGAAGTAGGGAATGATGGCCACAATGTCAATGATGTTCATGATGTTCTTGGAGAAAGTGGCCTTGCTGGGGCAGGCAAAGAAGCGAACCAGCAGCTCAAAGGAGAACCAGATGATGCACAAAGTCTCCACCACAAAGAAAGGGTCGGTGAAGGACGACACCATGGAAGCAGCCGAGGACGAGGAGTTGGTGTAGACATCAGCTGGGAGAGGTCCACCCCCCATCCCAAAGGTCACCCCAGTTCCCTCATAATCGTGGTCATCCCTGAATTCCGGCAGAGTCTCCAGACAGAAGATGACAATAGAGATAAGGATAACCAGCACGGAGACGATGGCGATGCCTCGTGCCGGCCCAGAGCTCTCGGGGTACTCAAAGAGGAGCCACACTTGGCGCTGAAACTCCTTATCGGGGAGCGGTCGCTGCTCCTCACGGATAAACCCCTCATCCTCCCGAAACTTCTCCATGGCCTCCTCCCCCAGCTGGTAGAAACGAATCTCCTCGGTGAAGATGTCGATGGGGACGTTGACGGGACGCCGGATTCTCCCCCCAGACTGGTAGTAGTAGAGGATGGCGTCGAAGCTCGGTCGGTTGCGGTCGAAGAAGTACTCGTTGCGCAGGGGGTCAAAGTATCTCATCCTCTTCCTGGGGTCCCCCAGCAGCGTTTCGGGGAACTGTGCCAGGGTCTTGAGCTGCGTCTCAAACCTCAGGCCGGAGATGTTGATGACCACCCTCTCGCAGCACTCGTTCCCCCGGGGGGTCCCCCGGGGGGGACGGCGGCGCCGCTCGCGGGGTGGTCGTAGCGCTCCCCCCCGAGCAGCGCCGGAGGCTGTTGGGCTTCTTCCAGCAAAGGGTCTCCACCGCCGCCGCCTCCCACCACGGTCATGCTG